TAACCTGCTGAATTCACGGACAGCTATATCTACTTGGGCCAAACAAAATAGGTGAATAACGAGTTTTGTTTGAAGCTAAGCAAAAAAAAAAGCAGTGGGAAGACTTTTTGCAAGTCCAGTATAGCGTCGATTGTGGAGAAGACATTTTTTGTAATTCCGCCAAGCATTGGTTCTGCTACATGAGAATTACTACTCATGATGAGGGGAAAGTTAATGGTGACTCAGAAATCCATGGAACCGACGCATGGCAAGTGTTAGCAAGTTACAGCTTTCCCTTCGTCATGCAACCCTCCTACCCCTAAAATTTAAAAATTTCGGCCGTTCCCCACTTTCTGCGGTTTGTCCGGGCCGTTACTTCAGAAGGTATGGTTCGGTCCACCAACCGCTACCCTACTTGGATCATCCATTTTTGGTTCGGCCTTCTACGGTCCTTCTTTTAATCTGTTGTTCAATGTACATCTCTTCATGGCCTTATATGCACTTTTTTAGCGTTAACATTTTTTCTGGTGCGTCTGTCGCACTTATCACAGTTCTAAATTTGTTTTCTAGGAGGTGGATGTTCCAAATGCTCATATCAAAAAGAGTATTATTGTGTACGTGCCTATGCCACAGCTGCGGCAGTTCCAGAAGATACAGCAACGTCTTGTGCGCGAGTTGGAGAAGAAGTTCAGTGGCAAGCATGTCGTCTTCATCGCCAGGGTATCATCCATTTTACGACTGATGTGAAAGGGAGTCGAAGCTGGGCCTGGTACTCCCGTTACACTTGACGGGAATTAAATGCCCAGCTTTCGACAGCTTTTTGTGCAATGGCAGTTTTTTACCTGTAAATTTTATAATTTTCGGTACGGTCTGTAACCGATGTCTTGTAGCGTTGTTTATGGCACTAATCTCCACTCCCGTACACTTAGTTTAAAAGTAGCTTTCAGAATAACTAGTCCATTTACCTGGATATATAATGCTAAAATCACCTTATTTTCAGCTTTCCAAATATTCGTCAAAA